TAGAAAATGCAAATAAATAACATAAATTTTATTTTTCTTCTTTTTTCAAAAAGGATATTCTTGATAACATGACTTGATTTAACTAAATACGATTATAAAAATGAAAAATTTTTACAATTTTGCTTTCATGTATGTTATGTATTGTATATATACTAAGGGTGTTTGTGTATGTAATATTTTTAACAAAATGATTTTGTGTTACTATAAAGAATAGATGGTAATTTTTAACAATGGCTATCTTGTGTGCATTTATATAGAAATGAAAATGAAATGAACATGACCCGAAGATTCATTCATTTCCATTATATACTTTGACATTGTTTGAATACAATATTTTTGTAATAGTATAAAATTGCACATTATTGTTATATATGGACAATATTAATATGTAAATATACAATTATCCTTTGTAAAAAAATTTATCATTTTGTATAACTAAAACACAAAATCTTTAAACAAATTTTATAATAATATAATTTATATATGCTTGAATTCAGCAGCTCTAATTTCAAGATATTATTGCAATATTCAAAAAAAAACAAGAATAAATTTACGATGTCGATTTTTCTTTGACATCAATTCTGATTGAATTTATTTCATTCAATGGACAATAGAAGAAAAAAAAAAAGAAATGCTATTGTTAATTTGGCAGTGGAATGTCAGTAAATATAATAAGTTTTATTCATAGAAAATATGAAAAATTAAGAGAAGTAAATTATAGATTGTTAATATAATAAGTGTTATACGAATACTAATGTATGTTTATTAAAAAAATATCAATAAATTTTCAGTCAGTGACCTTTTATAATCAATTAAATTTTATAAGATTGAATTTTGCACCAAAAAAAAAATTGGATGTACTAAATTGATATATGAGACTTACAGGGTATAGACTGGTCATATACGGAGAATGTAACATATTTTTTTGGCAACCCTTTATATAGGCATAGGTACCTAATTATTTTCTTTAAATAATTTCAAACGTTTTCCATTTACATTAATTTTTCTAATATTTTTCAATATTTCCAATTGATTTAAGAATTTCAAATAAAATTGGGTAGGGGTTAATTGCCAACAAACCCTCCATATCATTTAATCAATCGTAAGTGTCTTTGGAATGTGCTATATAGGGTATCCTCTATCATGAATTCTATTGAATACAAAATAAAATATGGAATTGTCATTTCGTATTAAAAGCGAAACCATCATCCGAATGGTTTGTGCCTACAATGAAGATCTTTCATGTAGATACAAACTCTGTCTGAATTCAATACAGTTTATTACGATATAATTTAATCGAAGTAGCGTGCATTTCCCCCGAAATTTCCTCATAAAAAAAGCCTGTGTCTCATGTTGATGCTTTTCATAGTTTGTCATTCAAATAATTGTCATTTGCTAAATTTTTTATTTATTTCTAAGAAAAATTTTTGAAAAACATTTTAAAAATAAGTTCAACCAAAAAAAAGGAAGTCTTTTCTTTCAATTATTAATCATTTATTTTTATACGCATTCTTAAGGCAGTTTCACAAAAATAACAATTTATAATATTTCCCCATAGCTATTCCAAAATTCCACAATTTCATAAAAAAAAATTTCTATTTTTAATCGCACCTCTACCTTATAATAATTATTAAGTTATTTACACCTGTCTCATAAACTCATATAATAAAATATTTTTGACTGCAAAATCATTCCAAAAACTGTAAATAAAAATTTTCTATTTTTTTTATAGTCATTCTATTTTTACACAAAATAGATTTTTATTAAAAAAAAAAACAAATTTCTCCTATATTTAATCATTTCCTGGAAATGAGTATGACATCAAAAATAGCACACACAAATAAATAATCTATTGTTATTTATAAAAATGGTAACCGAGAAAAACAAAAAATTTTCACTTCAATATTAAAAGTTAATTTTCAAAAAAATAAAAAAAATTATGCCATTTTATCACACACTGGGAATATTTTCATATTTTTTTTGTCATCGGCAACCACATATTATTTGACATGAATATTGCCAAATATCTGAAACAAAAATAAAAGGTTATAAAAATAAAAATCAAAATTTAGGTTACCGTGTTGCGTCAATTTCAGATTTTAGGTATACCCCCCCCAATATATTGTTATACGTATATGAAAAACCAAATGATTTTCAATATTTTTGACGATTTATTTTTAAATTTTATCAATTTAATAAATTTCCCGTTTTATTCCGCTTCCCGTTCCCTTCTTTCCTATACAGATCCTTTTGGTATTTATATAGTCGCACATTTTACTCTATTCGCATTTTATAAAATAAAGTCTCCGATTAATAGCTATCATTTTGATGAATAAAACTAAACGAAAACAAAAGAAACCAAAAATAACAAAAACAAATTGAAAATTTCCAACTTTTCCCATCAAAATCGGAGAAAAAAGTAATAATAATGTTTGGGAAAAACGCTTCTATTTTAACGGTGTAAATCACAAAGAAACAAAATATATGTAATTTGATTATCTATCACATGAGTTTTTTGTTTTTTTTTTTTGATTATTTCATTCCCTTTAATTTTTTTATTTCAGATATTTGTGTATTTCCCTATATTAGTATAACAAAGTTGTAAAAGAAACGAGAAAAATTTCGAATAAAATTCGAATACAAGTATCATCAAATTTGAATTTAACTTTATTTTTTGAACACATCATTTTAGGAAAATTCACCATTCCTCTATATTTTACAGTTGTTTATTTCGCGCCTTAATTCTTATCCAAACATACATACATACATTCACAATATACTAAGAAAAATACAACACCCAATTCAACTAAAATATTTTTTTTTTATATTATAGCGAAAAGTCGATTATCTACACCTGTGATTCATTTTTACTTTTATTTTATATATTTTTTCTTTTTTTGTTGTTTCTATTTTGATTACTTGCTTTTATCGTTTATTTTTCCTATACAAATTTTTGGCAAAAACAAAATAAATAAATAGAAAAAGCGTAAATTTTCATTTTATTTTGTTTTCTTCTACAATTTAATAATATTCACAAGGGGATCTAAGACAATAAATTAGTCTAAATCTTTCTTTCATGCGACATTATATTCTAATATTATGTTATGTATATGGTTATATGTATTTTTGTTTATGTATATATATATTTTGAAGATAATATGAAATGAAATACAAGAAAAATTTGGAAAAAAAAGGATACGAAATAATTGCGGGAAAAAATATTTTCGTTAACAGAATTGCCTTTAATATATATAAAAATTCAGCAAATTTTACAAATTCTACCGCCATTCCAGCTGATTTCAGCTGACAATTGGGAACAGTTTATTAATATTTAAAATTTTGTTATATAACAGTAAAAATTAAGTTATAAATTTAAATAATAGGAATTCAAAATTTATTTTAATAGAAAAAATTAAACAAATTTCTGCAATAAATTTGAGTTATTAGCCCTCGCCAGTACTCCTTTTTATATCCTGATAATGTTAAAAGTAAACACTTTAAGTGTTATATGTTTATGTATATGGCTATACAATTGAAAACGATTGCAAGAATTGAATACTGAAAGCAACTTAAAAAAAATTTTTATTGCATACTTTTAGGGTAAGTTTTCTAATATATACAAATGGATATTGAAATAAATTCGTTTTTATGAACGATTTAATTTTATTTAATTTCAATTATAAGGTTTAAATAAAATTAATTTTGGTACAAAAGTTATATTTAATTTGGATATTCAATTCCACCCCATATATTCGAGCTCTTTAAATACTCGTATTTAGTAATTCTTATTCGTGCATTTTCTGTTTATGATTACCATGATTATTGCAAAATTCGTAAAAATTTAATGAATATCAAATTTTAAAATCAGTATTTCAATTTAAAAACAAATAAAATTAATCAAAATTATTGAATTGAAACCAAGATTAATGTCCTTTTTTTCTCAAAATTTCCAAATTTGCTAAATTTTGAATTTAGTTCATTATTTCCGTTCAATATGATTCACACTCATATCTGGACAAAATCTGAGGTACTAGTTCAAAATAGCAATTAGAAAAAATTATTTTGAAACCAGCAAACCAATTTATAATATTTTTTTTTTTTATTAATAATTGCAATCATATCATCATATACTTATTTCGTACACATATGTATATATAAATAAATGAACTTTTCCTAAGAGAACCTTTTAAAAATAAACACTAAATATGAACAATAACCATAAAATACTTGAATATCCTTTCTGTTTTTGTTTCTATTTCTATTTCTGTAATCCTTGTTCTTTTCTTTGTTCTTATATTTGTTTTCATATTTTAATAAAGTTTAAACATGTAAATATTAACTAAAATGATATTCAAGTTACTAGAGAACCCACTCAAATGCACCCTATTCAAAAAATTATGACAAATATGAATGTTTTTGTTTGTGTTGTTGTTGTTGTTGTTGTTATTGTTATACAAAATAACAATTCTGCAGAAAAAAAAATAAAGAATTACAAAAATAAAAAGAAAAATGAAAAACAGCAGTACTAATCTAAAGTTGCGATTCATAAAATGTAAATATATATATATATATATATATACACAAACACATATACTTATTAGTATAACAGTTTATAAATACAACCAAAGTTGTAACGTTTGCGTCTCGTTTCGGTTATAGCATGTCAAAATTGATTACTTTGGTGCTTTTCATATTCCCAACGTTTCAATATTTTTTTGTTTTGTTTTACTTTTATTTTTCTATTTTGTTTTTCTACTTTTTGTCACTTTTGTTTTTACTTCATTTCCATTTTTCCAGTGCTATTTGGCTTATTGTATATTATTTTCTCTCATCATTGTATTTATTATGTAAAAGTCAATGTACATATGAGTATATAAAAATTGTTATATAAATATTCTTGCCATGTAGTTTTATACTGTCGCAAAACAACAAAAAAGAAAAGAATAACAATTTTTTTTACAATTTTTTCTCATTTATTTTTTCCTATTTTATATTTTCAGTTATGGCCTCTTGGGTTCATCTGGTTGCGGTAAGACAACACTTCTAGCATGTATTGTCGGTAGAAGAAGATTAAATTCCGGTGAAATATGGGTACTTGGTGGTACACCAGGTTCTCGCGGCTCTGGTGTACCAGGACCACGTATTGGATATATGCCACAGGTATGTCAAAATTTTATGTATTTTCATTTGAAAATAGAGTACATCCAAACATAGGTGATTGTATAAATATATGTGTGCATGCATATATGTGCATATGTGAATATTATTATGTATAAAAGTTTTTATTGAATAAATATTATGACAATTTAAAATTTGCATATATATGAATACCTATAAGGATAAATTGAAACAAAGTTAATTAGGAAATAAGTAAAGTAAATGTAAAATATGTATATACGTATATATGTATGTATTTGATAAAAGTTATAATAGCAATGAAATTTACCTGGAAAAAAAATTATTTTAGAGAATTCATGCCAAAGTTTTATTAGAAATTTAGAACAGAAATATCGTAAGAATAGCTTATCGTAAATGAGAGAAAATGAAATTTAATTGAATTAAAAATTTTAAATTCTTTATGATATGTTGTCGATAAAATGAGACATTTTACATGTTACTCACATATTGAATTTGAAATTTTACTACAGAAGATTTTCTAACAGAACTGATTTTCCAATAGAACTAATTAGACCGCCAATTTAATTTTATTTGTTTAACAAATTCATAACTAATGGATTTAAGAAATTTCTCTATAATCGGCGCTGAAAGTAAATTCGTAAATAAAAGTTTGGACCATGCATTTGTAGTAGGTGTAATCGCTATTTAAGAAATTAGGTTAGAAAAAATTAGATTTGAATTTAATCTTACAGGCCGAATGCAATTTTCATCATAATTTTTTTAAAAATATGAGTTGTGTACCAGAATGGAGTTTAATTAAGTATAATGTAACACTTACCAATAAAATATGAAGTGATAAAATTCCATTTACTTTCATTGCTCTCCTAGTGCCCTTTCATAATCCTTGACACAATTTATTTAATCAGTAGTAATCAACGGCTCTACAGTGTTTCCTATTTCCTTTCCAATATTCACTTTTGCACTATTTTTTAGTTTTTAAATTTTTTTAAAAATTTTTTTATTAAATATAATAATGATTACAATATACGATATACATAAACAATTTTATTACTCGTATATTAATATAAAAAATATTTTTAGGAAGTTGCCTTATATGGTGAGTTTACAATGAAAGAAACTCTATTATATTTTGGTTGGATGGCTGGTATGGAAACTGAAAAAATTGAAGCAAGAACTGATTTTCTATTAAAATTATTAATGATGCCACCTGGTAATGGTTTTGTTAAAAATTTAAGTGGTGGACAACAACGTCGTATGAGTTTAGCAGCAGCACTTTTACATGAACCTGAATTATTAATTTTAGATGAACCGACAGTTGGTGTTGATCCAGTACTTAGACAAGGGTAAGTAGTATATAGACTACTGAATATTTTTTTTTTTTTGTGATTCTATTAAATTTGATATTTTTAGCAAATATTTACCATAAAACTTCAGTCTTTTGTTTGCCGTAATTTTAAGTGATTAAATGATTTTAATAGCTTTTACGATTGATGTTAGTGCTTGTTTTATATTAAGGATGCTCACATGATTGTGTGATGTTTAATCTATACTCATACAGAGTAGTTATTTTATATAAGGTTTATAAAGCGAATTCTTTAAATCTTAGAATTTACGTATTGTGGATTGCTGCTAGATCTGATAAATTTTTCAATATTTTTCCACTGTTTTCTAGATAACATGCAGCCTTTGTTATTATGCAATAGCCTGGCTCAATTAAACATTAATTTTTAATTGATGCACCATGAGCAATATTACACCTCATCAGTTTACTTCAATCTAATAAAAGTAGAGCTATAAAAAATTTGCTATACTCTTGAAACTCCGGAATAATTTGAATTTTCAAGTATTATCACAATATTTTTCAAAAACCGCTCATAAATTCATTCTTATGTATGAGCCACTCAATGACTTGAATTTTTCAACTTTACTAATCTGATATTTTTAATTCCAAAAAAAACGCGTTATAGAATGTAATTGAAAATCATTTTAGTAACACTTGATATAAAAAAAAAAATTAAGAATTTAAAATATTCCATCAATTTTATCCCTGTATGTCAAAAGAAGATTCTGCATGTCAAAAAGGAACTTAAAGTTGACGAATTACTATTGATAAAAGAGAGAGAAAGAGAGACTCCTAACGGCATTGGTTACCATTATAATTTATTTCTTTTGTTATTTCAAAAATTTTGTTATTTTTTTTTCCTTCATTTTGCTGACAATACAAACTAAAAAAAATAAAAAAATTCATGCTTTTACTTACCATTATCCAATTTCTGTTTTGTTTTTTTTTTGTTTTTTTTTTTCATATTTTATTGTTACGCTTTTCAATTTTTCTTTATATTTTGCAAAACACTCAGCAATCCAGAAATTTATTATGGATTACAAAAGAAAAACAAAAAATGTATGCATGTACTTTACATGTGGAACGCATAACAGTACGAAAAACACTTAGGCTATTTTTGTGTTGTTCTCTGATGGTTGTACCCATTAAAGCTCGTCTGTAATAAATTCTTCTTCCATTTTTTTTGTTTTTTTTTGTTTTTGTTAGAAATTATGACTGGCCCATATTTACAATACTAACATGAATATGAAAATATAACACTTTATTTTGTTGGTGGATATGCGACGGCTACGACGACGACTACGAGTACGATAATGATGAGCAAGAACGAAAAACAGAAAAAGGTCATAATTTATGTTTCGCATTAACACAGGACCCAACTATATGAAAAATCCCATGGTGATTTCTTTGTATTATTTTGTCGTTGTTTTCTTTTTTTTTTTTGGGTTCCATGTAATTTTTTTGCATTATAACAGTGTTCCGTTCTATATAAGGTTTCTTTTTTTTAAATATATTATGTAGTGTCCTTGATGATTGTTTGGATTTATCTTTTACTTGTGCTTTTATTTTGCATATCATTGTTGTTTCATATACAACACAAAAATTATATAAAAAGTGGCAAAAAAAAATTCAATGTTTTTTTTTTATGATTGTTTGTCGGTTTTTTTTTTTTATGTGTACGTTTGCTCATATTTTCTAGGATTAAGAGTAAAATAAAATAATGCAAATTATTTATAAGAGAATGGACAAAAATTCTACTAACGTATTCATGAGATTTTTCGCCTTATATATTATACTTTTTTTTTTAAGAATAAAAAAGACCGCCTTCCACTTGCAGAATGAAATATAAAAGATTATTACGAGCAACAATAATGAAATTACATCCTTTTACGTTAATTTCTGGGTTTTTTGTATATTAATTTTGTAGATTTTGATCAAAGGAGCTCAGGTTCACTGTATAAAATATAATACGGGGGTCATAGTTGTTGTTATATGCATAATGGAAATTTTGGATTTTGTCTTAATTTTACGATATTAGAAAAAATTATTAATCCTTATTCCTCGTCTATCGAAAAACAAAAAATTTCGAAATAGAATGAAATTTTAAAACTTAATTGTTGCATACATTTAGGCGACTTTAATAAATTACCAAATTGTTTATAAACCATCTTCCCTTGGTTTACAACCATCTCCCATCGTACACTTTTCATTTAATATCGAGAAAATAAAATTCACAAGGATATCAAAAATTTCATAAAAAAAAAAAAACCTAAATATGAAGTCGCTAAATTTTAAAACTTTTTTGTTATTATCATAAACATATTCTAAGACGCTAGATAAGCACTTTTATAAACCGACCAGAAATAAGAATAGGCAGGCACAAATAAAAATGAAAACAAAAAGCAATGTGTGTAAAATTCTATTTAAAATGAAAGCAAAGTATAAAAGAAGAAGAAAAACAGAAACAGTGAGATAATTCTCCTGTTGAAAAGAAAACTCATACACACACACACCATGCACAAACGCAAATAACAACTAAAATAAATTGAAAAGACTGTACTCGTATAGCTATGTTAAAGAAAAAAGAGCCGCCTAGAGAGTTTTTCACAAGCAAAAAAATTTAAAACGTAAGGAAATAACAATAAAAAATAATTTTTATTTTTATTTCGGAAAAAATAAAATCATAACTATAAACGTATTTATGTTGGCGGCTCAAATTAAGCCGTCTTAGTACATTCTTAAGAATTAAACTTGAAAGAAATTTGTAAAAGAAAAATATTATTTTAATTTTTGAAGAAATTCTTTAAAAATTTAAACTGATGGAGGTTTTATATTTGATAAGATTCTTGAGCATTGCACTATACATGCATACCCAGACGTACAATTAACCTAAAGCGAATTTCATTTCTTCTAAAAATTTAAAATATTGTATTGAATTATTCTTAATTTTAGGTGTTATTTAAGAGAATCAATTCATTCAAAATCTATTCATTACGAAGCGGTCCATATACGAAACAAGCAGGCAATGTCCGAAAAATAATCCAAGTCAATCCAAAAAGAGAAATTTTATCCTTTATTAAAAAGTGCAAGTACTTTCAGATTTTAAAGAAAAATCTCCCAAGAGAACGCATTGAAAATCGTTTTTAAAAAATTTGTAATTAGCACCTTTCGGCTCTCAAATATTTTTTTACAACGTCTTTTTTCAAAATGTGGAGCCTGGCAAATAATACCGTATGGTATACTAAGGCAAAAAGCCTTGAACTCTCTATAACTGCCGTGCAAAATGTTTTACTATATTTGTTTGGAGATTTCGAAAATATTAGTTTTGGAGATAGATGTATCCCGTAGAAATTATAGCTTAAATGATGCTCTTAGAGGTATCAAATGATAATTTTTTTGAAAAATACCCTAGCTGTTAAAAAAATTGTACTAGACGATTTTCAAAAGACTATTGGAAATATTTGATGAAATGCCAGCTTTGGTTGCATTGAATTTTTGATGGCTAACTAGGAACAAAATGTGTTATTGAGAATAAGACAATTTAAATTTCTGCAACCATATAACAAAAGGATATGGTAATATGCTGATAATCGCAATTAAATTTTAAAAGTTCTTATCACTTCTTTGCCAATTTATTTAAATATAGAAAATTGGTCCTAAGAACATATCCTTTAATTATAAAATATTAATTGAACTCCAACAAAAACCGATTTCAAATAAAATTTTTCATTTTCATTTAAAAATTTTTTTTTTTTTTGCAATTAGTTGCACTTTTCTTGTATAATTTTTTATTTGGAAAAAATGGCATCCTTTGTTTGTTTTCCAAGTTTATTTCTTATCAACCATTTATTATCATATAGTAGCGATAAATAAGATAATCGGAGCCAATTGGTTTTAAAAATCATATCGTTTTTCTTGTATTCAAAATTCCCCAAAGGGGGTGGAATTCATTTGAATAAATTAAAATTGAATATGAAATCCAGAAAAAAAAAAATTCCAAATAAACATAAATTTCCTTTTCATTTTTATTAATATTCTTTTATTTTAAAATTGAATACGTGATAGAAATTCTCAAGGATTTCTTATCAAAGTATTAATCTTGCTTCGAAAAAAATTTTCTTTTCTCCCTCTTTTTAATGGACTCAGTAAATTCAAATTTCTTCCTTTTTGTACAAAACTAGCAACGTATGACCAAAAATAATTTTTTTTTTTTCATCTTTCCTTCGAAAAAAAAGAAATTTTTTAATTGCTTTAAAATAATTGGAAACCACATTGTATAAGATACAAGATCTTAACTTTTAAGATGAAACTTCATTAAAAATATTAAACATTTTAATTTTAAAGATTCCAAAAAGTGTTTCATTTGTAAAAGAAAATCTTGGAAGTGAAAAAAATTTTCTTAAATCACGGATATTTTTTATTAAGGAGTGAACAATTTAGAAAAGGGACGATCAGTATTAAAATTACAAATATCCAATGTGATAAAATTGGAATGTGAAATTGGAACGTAAAATTCTAAATTTGCATTCATGTGCATTTTCAAATAATATTAAAAATCCAAGTGTAATCACAATTAAATCCGATTAAATCCGAAATTTAAAGTGGATGACCATATTAGTTAGCCACGCCAGTGATTATAAATTGTTTAATATAAAATCCAAGAATATTATAAATTAAAATTTAAACTCTTTTGAGGGTAAACAAGAATATCAATAAATTATAATAAAACTTTATTAAAGAATTTTGCATAGATATTAGTAGTATGCATCAGACCCTAAAGAATGCACCATTTTGTGAAAATTTTCTACTTTCGTTTGCAACGACAGTAAATTGAACTTGAATAATGTTTATCTTGGGTATAAAATAAATAATTCCAATTGAATTATCTTAAAAAAAATTATTTTTCAAATATTTTTCTGCATATTTGCACACTTTTTTAAAATCATCTTTATATCCGTACTAACGTATGTTCGAGAGGTATAATAAATTTTTCTTAGCGTTTGTAACGCTTAGAAATAATAGTTTGAGATATAGAAATAAGTGTATATTTTTGATCAACATCAAATACTAAGTCGATGTAAACACGCCAGTCCGTCCGTCTATACGTTCTTCCATCCGCCGTTTCGGCTGTCCGCAAGTCCGCCCGAATGATAGCCCAAAAACTTATTAATCTAAGCTCATCAAATTTTCACAAATTATTTTACAAATGATATATGATCGCGGCAGTACAGTCTAAGTAACTGCCCTACAACTTTATTATTTGGTTATATCTCAGAAATTATAGAACCTACAACATTGAATTTCCGTACAAGAAAATATTTTATTTGGGTTCTTATATTTGATTAAGTCTTGTATTACGAAAAGTATTGAAATTATATTGCTGAAATTTTTCATAAGCAAATAAAGAACCAGGTCTACATATGCAACACTGCGGTTATTAACGCACGTTATGCTATAATAGTGGCAAGAACTTAAAATTTTTCATTCGTACAGGTATCATAGAGTGGACACGGTCAACTCTACCTATTCTTGCTTAATTTTTTATTTCATAAATCCTAAAAATATTATTTAATTTTTCAAGGATTTCTGCATTTTAATCCTATAAATAGATTTTTTTTTTGCATATGATTACAAATATATCAAAACAATTTATATACGAAATTTTCAAATTCAGTTGAAATGATGAAGCAAAAAAAAAAATCAAACACACACACTCATCATTCTTCATTTCTGAGAATCAACAAAAAACCTTTTAACCTTGATGTAATTTCCAAAATAAAAAATCATAAAGCAAATAAATGATTCATTTATTTTGGTATAATCGCAATTATTTACAAGAACAAATGGCTAAAAGGACGAAAGAAATCCAAAAACTACAAAAAACGAAAATAATACGCTGGAACACTTTTACACTTTTGTTTTTTTTTTGTTTTTTAATAAAATAAAAAAAAATATCCTTTAAAATGAAACTTTTATCCCTTTTTTATCCTTTACAATTGTTTAAAAATCAAATCATTTTTGTTGTTTTTGGTTTTTTTTTTGTTTTTTATATTTTACTAAGGAAATAATATTCCATTAAAGGATATCGTAATAGTACAAATACAAAAATAAAGTAAAATCCTTCACTTTACTGTTATACTTTTTACTGTTTGTTTTTTGCAAGTTTTGGTTTTTTTTTTCTGTATTATTTTTATATTGATATTACTGCCATTTTATAAAAATTTGACTCAAGGACTTTTAAAGGAAATTTGATAATCTTTAAATGATTGTATATTTGGATTATATACAACGGAAATATAAAAGTGATCTTATATAAAAGGAAATATACAATTATATACGTAAATGGCAACAGTATATACAGTTGGCAACTAATAAAATTGAGTATAATCAATTTGGAATTTGAAGATGATCAAGTAGGTTCAGTAATACAGAAAATTTTAAAGTTTAATTTGAAATCACAACGAGTTTGGTCTCTAATTTAAGATTTTAAAAATCCTATTTTAAAACACGACACTGAATAATAACATATAGTATTTGAAAGGGTAATAACAGCCTGACTTCAAAATTCTTAATTCAATTTCTAATCGAGTAATTTCTGATTATTGTCTTTAAAAAGCTCACATGGTGGTCTTTGTTAGCGATTCGGTAATAAATTTGATAATTAACATATAAAACCAATGTAACAATTAATCAAACTTGGGGTCTAACGATTTTCTATAACACAAATTCAATTTGAAACCATTTGTGATGGGCTAAGAAGGGACTGTGGTATAAAGTTCAATTAAATTCTCAAAAAATTTAAAAAAAAACAAATGTGCATTTTCTATATAAATTTCAGTAATTTCAATATTTAAAATATTTAATTGCAAGAATCCTTAAAAAAATAACTCGAACTGCTTTTGAAATATAGTTAAGAATATTGTGAATATTAGCAAAATTCATTTCCTTGCCAAGACAATTTCTTAACAATTTCTAATTTCTTGATCCAATTCCTTCCATCCTCTATAACTAATTTCATTCGAAATTTAAGTTTTAAGTATATTGCCCTCCAATCAAACAACTCGTTTTTTTCTATTTCTTATAAAATAAAAAACCATTATAAATAATATTCTTAAGTTCATGTGAATGTTTTGTGGTCATTGAACGTAACATTTGATTATACAATATTATAATAAAAATCAATAACATTTAAACTACAACAGAAACTACGAGTATAAATGGCATGGGAGAAAAACAAAATTTTGACAAAAAAACAAAAAAAAATAAAAAAGGATGAAAGAAAATTTTTCGCTTTATAATGATATCGATTTGTACAGGATATGAATTTTTTTTTCTATACGAGTATATTTTGAAGTTTATTTACACATATCCTTTCTTAACATGAAGACAGATTAAAAAAAAAAAATAAATTATAAATATATTATATAATCTAAAAAGTGTTTACTGTTATCTAAAGTGCTTTTCAAGCAGATGGACTAAAATGTTTTCTAAACTATATAAGTATAACAAAAAAAACTCTGTATATGGAAAACTTTATCCGATTTTATTTAGAGTTTTTTTTATTTTCACTTGTCTCAGAAATGTAGAAAAAAAAAATGCATGTACGTAGCGTTTAATCCGATAAAAGAATTTTCGTTACTTTGAAAAACGAAAAAAAAAATGGATGAAATTAATAAGCCCTTAAAATTAAAAAGTAATTTCTGTCTGGATAATTATTATAGTTTTGAAAAGCATTGCTGATTATAGGGCTGCATGTTATTAAAAAATATCATTGAGACTTAAATATATATTTTAATAATTGTATCCGATTATAATATTCTCGATCAAATATAGCTGCTGTGTTATCTCAATTAGTATTCAAAATACTCAAAAAATCCAAAATTAATAGGTGTACAATAAAATCGAAATTATTCTTAAAACAAATATTTTTCAATATTTAAAATGAATTTCATTAAAATAATTAAATAACAAAATATTCTATAAGAAACAATCAAATATTCATCCTGAAGCGAATATTCAGTAGTTCATCTACTTTTCACATTCCCACTATATACTCACAGCGCTCATATAATAACAATAAATTCGCAATACATACGTTGAAATAAAAGTTAAAGTACCTGCTACTTAATTAATCTTTAGTCGCAGTAATACAAGTGGAATTAGTGAAATTTTTAATTTATTAAAATTTTAACAGCATATGAACAATTTTACATTTTAATAGGTCCTTCCTCTCCTTAAAAATTGCAATTAAACGGCGAGACATTCAAGGTATATTTTTGTTTCGGAAAATTTTTACAATTTATAATTTTAGAAATTTACACCTAAAAATTTTATTCATATATAAAAAAATTTTATTAATTTTATATTTGCATTTATTTTTCATTTTAGTATTTGGGATCATTTGGTGGATATTACAAAAAATGGTAATACAACTGTGATAATTACAACACATTATATAGATGAAACAAAACAAGCTGGCACTGTAAGTAAAAAATTAAATTGTAATAATCTTAATGGTACCAACAAACTTAAAGAAATCAGAGTTGGTAAATTAAAATTTAAAGTAGTAGTGTAATTCGTTATGTAACAAAAATTCTGTTGTTTGGTTTGGTTCAATTGGTTTGTTAAAAATTAATAGTATACACTGAAATTTATCGACATTCTAATTCGCAGTATACAATGGTCTGTATTGTTAAAGGACAATTAATCGCGAAACCAACTTACAATTTTCTGAATAATTATTGATTGCTAATTAAAGTCACGATTTTTCTTGATGAAGCTAGCTTTAATACTGTGATATCTCCGTTGTTGCAGTAAGATGATTGAAAGCGTTTATTTATAAAATAGCATAAATAATTTTTTTTGGGTTAAGAACAAAAAGTATATTGTGTTACAAATTTCGTTTCAACACTGTTTTTGTATACAATAAAATATAAAATTAATTATAATTGTTAAGCTTATTATATTATGCTAGAAAATTAATAAAATAATATCACATCCTTTCGTTAATATAATGTTATAATATATAGGTTATGTCCTGTAAATATATTTAACATAAATACGTTTTATACAAAATATTATAGCATACTCTGTATGTATATACACAATTATAATTCGTGTATATAGATGCATTTAATGAGAAAGAAAAAATTTTCCAGACAGAATAAAAATTTATTATATAAAAAAGTCTAGAAAACTTTCCGGCACAAATTTATTATTGCCACCTACAAAATTATGCTATTATATTTATATTAATATTTAGAATAGATTGTAAGTATATTATATAGCTGTATGTATGTATTTTTATAGAAAATGGAAATAATTCTAAGTTTAGAAGAATATTTTAATTTTTTATTTTCATTCATGTGTTGTGTAAATTGATAATTATAATTTGATATTATGTGAATATAAATAAAGTAAGAAGATATTATTAGAGAGAAACGAAAGCATTCTGTATGTTTATAAAATACCCTGTATTATTATAGAAACCTATATTTAGGTAACCCAATCGCATAAAATATAGCGTGTAAGAGTAAGGCAATTAATGTGGTATAATGTTATATTTACTGATATCTATATACATAATTAAATTTAGAAATTTCTATAAAGGTGCTTCAAGAGGAAATCTTTGAAATATAGTACAGACAATTAGAGTTGAATTAATTATAAAATGTTACCGAAACAGAACCAAAGTTCGAACAAAAATTATATTAGACTAATTAATAACAAACACTAAGCGATTTCAAAGAGAATACTAATGCTACACAATCATTCCCTATTTGGTAGAATAAACGAGCTACTGAAAATTTTAATAAAATTTTAAGTGTTAAATTTCTCTTTTTATAAATTTATTTTTCTTTTAACCTCAGATACAAATTTTTCAATTACAATTTAATTAATATTAAATAATTCGGTCAATATATTAAGTCGGTCACAGTATAATTATTTTAATATACACAAAAAAATTAATTGTTAAAATTACGATTATATTTTTTAAAACTTTCATTAATTTATTGATATTTTTTTTTTTTAATTTATTAAAAAAAATATTCATTTATACCTTTAATATTAAAATATTTCAACTCGATAAAATATCCTGAACATTATAATTTCCGTTTTGCAACTTTTGTTTTTTAATAATTAATTATGTACGCATAAAATATTAAATTTTATTATAATATTGTCATATTTTTTTTTTTCAATTAAAAATTGTTATTTTCTGTATACTAGCATATTATTATTAAGCATTAAATTATGAAATGCATGCGTGTACCTGTATTGGAATTATATAGAACACATCATTCTCATTTATTGTAAGAATAGAGTGTATTCTTTCATTTCCCATTTACTATCCCGAAAATTAAAATGGTTAGTAAATAAACACAATGTAGTTGTAATACTACTGGCTGTCTGGCATCGCAATTATCTTGGACAGAATTTCATGGGCGTTCGGGAACTGGTGTCTAATTATTTTGGGGATATCTCCAGTCTTATACTTGGAACACGGATATTATATAGGCAGTAGTGTGGGGAGTCTTCAATAAATCGTGAATGGCTGCAGTTGCCCGAGTTATAAGTCGTCTTATCCCATATCAATTCCCTTGGAATCTAACAAACCAGGAAAAGCACAATATAGTGTGTTTTAAAATTTTATAAAAGAATTGAATTTTCAATTAATTTATGAAATTTTGATGCGATCAATTTAAATAATTCATTCCAGATTTTCTTAAACAGTTGGTTAATAATTTCGATTATTTAAGCTATACACAGCTATATCTCGCTTCCATCAGAAAAAATAAAAATTGTTTAACTTGTAATCATACTGTTTTTCAAGTAGTTTTAACTAGATGTATAATTATTAATTAACCTCAATCACATATAAATTTCAATTCTCCCCCTTATCCGTTTTAAGTTTCCGTCATATCGCGGCTTAATTAAAGATAATGTATATAAGTAATTCATTAATTTTTCTGCATTGTTTTTATTTAAATTTACTATTATTGAATGTCATTTGTAATATGTCATAAAACTTATAGTTTTGGAATATTAGATTTTAATTCTAGGGGACCGATATTATAAATGTAAATTGGCATTATTAATTACCTAAGTGCTGTAAAATATTTAATTATTAATACAAGTAATAATGGGAAATAGGGGTACGCACTACACTCTTGTATATGTATAACACATTTCTGCATGCGTATACCTACTTATACATATATTATTATTTATGTTTTGCCTCTTTGGATTCATTCTTTTAACACATATAATCAGTATATCATTATTATTACTATATACTTAAACACGTATACGAATAGAGTAAAGAAGTTCGAAGATATATGTATAATAATAAGAAACATAAAAATTCAGAAAATAAATTTAAAAAAATTTTCTTTTTTTTATTTTAATAATTTTCATGCCTTTTCTCACACCATTTTCACATTTATACCACATTCCATCGAGTATTTTTTCATTCATTTCTATGTCATACTCATATAAGTACGTGTAACTTAACATTTATACTTACATGATATTACTGTTATAACCATTCTTACCAATGTTATCGCGTTGCCGTTTTTATTAATAATATTATTTTGCTATTAATTCTTTTTTTGCCATTCATTCAATGCGGTATTGTCGTTAAAAATAAACACAATTGTGTGCATTTTTTCTTCTCTATTTTCCACCATGTTTGTGTGTGTGTATACTCGTACATATTTATTATGATAAGTTTAATGAATTTTTACAACAAATAAAAATATATTAAAAAAAAAATACACATTAAATATTTAAAAAAAAAATAATGTACACACAATCACACATCTTAACAAAAAGACAAAAAAAAATCATACTAGAATGTAAAAACTTATTTACAATGACAACAAAAGTAGTCAATATAACAGTTAAAATGAGAACAAGAACAACAACGGCAACCGTATTAATAAAAACATAGGATCAAATGCCTTGTCGAAATTACTTGAGAAGAAAAAGTTGTGAGTTACGAATTCAATATCCCCACTGCTACCCTCTACTTTATACCCCTACCCTGTACCTTTCAAAAATAATAGCTGTGATGTGTACATTTTGTTTTTTTTTTTAACAGTAATATTGCGTGCCCGTATGTTGTTGACCTGAAATTTTTATTTTCTGAAAATATCCTTTTTTATATTTATACATTATTCATATGTATATGTATATATGCATATATTTTCTTTTAAATAAAATAACAATAAAAGAAATAACAAAATTGAATATAAAAATATAAATATTATAAATATATTGAAGATAAATAAATAAATTATTCGCGATTTATACATACACACATACAAAATATACATTTGCATTTTATATTATCAATTTATTTTGAATACAAAGTCTTAAAATTTTGAAAATCTGATGAATATATAGAGTATAGACGATAACTATTTTAGATTAACCATTTGTAATAGATTTTTGAAAAAGTGCTGCGGTTATAATATTAGGCTCTGTTGGGTTCCAAAAATTTTGTTCTAAAACTTTGGTAGAAAATATTTTTGCTGTGAAGAAACGAAATAGAAGATCTCAAAGAGTAGTACAGTTCAGTTAGCAGGTGAATAATTTTATATATGGAAATTAAACCAGTGTCGGAAGTAATATATATAAAAAACTTATAAGTATATAAAAAAAAGTGTCATTAGAAGATTATCAAAGAATATTGCAAATAATTTCTTCTCTGGCAATAATCTCATGAAAAATGCCGAATTGGAAGAAAGAAACTGCAGTAAACATGGTGAAATTTTACGTATATTATTCAAAATATTATTCACTCCACTTCAAATCAATTGAATTAATAAATTAGTGGAGAATTTAATTTTTCACTGGAACAAGAACTGTGTAAGACCAAATTTCAATTGAATTTTCAACACATTTAAATAATTTAAATAGTTTTTTTTGCATTTTTATTCAAAAGAACAAAATTTTATGACAATTTATTTTTTCACCACAGTTTTTAATAATTTTCACCACAGTTTTTTTATAATTTTCACCACAGTTTTTTTTATAATTTTCACCACAGTTTTTTATAATTTTCACCACAGTTTTTTTATAATTTTCATCACAGTTATTCACCACAATTTTTGATAAATTGAAAAAAAAAATATTTTTTTTTTAAGAAAAATTTAATAAATTCTAAATTTTTTAAGATTTTTTCTATTATAATGGTCACATTTATACCAAAATACAAATAAAATTATTTTTTAGGAAACAAACATTTAACAAACATATTTTACCATACAAAGTATATATACACTATAATTTATTTATAACACGCAATAAAGTACTAAAAATAAGCAAAAATGAAAAAAAATAATGCAAAGAATTTCCATATAGAATATCTAATATATACTGTAACAGTGACAATTTATATTAGAAACCTTTACAATAAATCCCTTTTCTACTCTAAAATTAAAACAAATACAAAAAATAGCAAAAATATAAAAATAA